ATTTAAGGACTTTTAAAATGGGGGGCTGCTTAAAAAAAAGGAAAGCTCTGTCTCCAGTACAGAAGTTTTTTATTATATGATTGTATGTGACAAGACACAGAAAATATAACCAAAATTAGAGCTGCAGATGCCCTTAGAGAACTACTGAACTTGAAAAAATTTTTCAAAAGCATTCCAGATGACTTGGATAACTGTCTTCAATGCTCTCTTTCTCATTGGGAAAGAAAAAAAAAACATATATCCTTCTTTAAATTGTAAATGTTGCATTGTCTGTGAAGAATCTATCTTCAATAGGAATTAGATTGAGCCCTCATTAAAAAAAGTACAGACTGCAGAATCTGTCAAATGAGATGAAAGCTTGGCAGCTGGCACTTGTTTTTAATGTTTGATGAAGCAAAAAGGAGTCACTCAAAAGGCAGGCACTGATGGGCAGGGAAAGAAGTTCATCTATGAATCAAACTCTTACTAAGTTTGTATAATTAATTCTTGGGGAAAAAAAAGTAAAAAGCTTAGAGCACCATGGTTTCGAGCTTTTAACTGAAGAAGTCTGATGTTTTCAAGATAAGATTAAGTCCTAATACTCATCTTCAGCCTGCTGTTTCAACAGCCAACCCAGGAAAAAACTGGTTTGCATCTTGTTGATTTTTAGCATCAATTGGGTAAAAATTCCATTTCCCCTGTCCTGTAATAGTTGTCATGGACGACATGGATTTTAGCTTTTAAAAATTATAGTATTTTTATTCTGTGTCATGTATCTTTCCATTGGTATGTATGTTATGAAGCGTTAATAAATAAACAACTTACTCCCTCCCCTCAATGAAAACCCTACAAACATTTAGACTGAAATTACCAATGGAGAATTATTGTTTGCAGAGAACAAACAGTTGATATCTTTTTGTTGGATTTTTGTTCAAGCAGATTTCCCGCAGAATGCTAAGAAGAGATGAAGAAGAGGACGAGGAGGAAGATGACGATGATGAAGAGGAGGATGAGGAGGAGGAATTTGATGCTACTAAGGAAGTGAGATAACAAAGCTGTTCTAAGAGGGTTTTTTTAATTAAGGAAAAAAACAACCTTTACCTAAAGGCTTTTGTATGTTGGATCTAAAATTTCACTGGGGCTATATATTTAGAATTCCAGCAGAAGCAGGAATCAGCACTGATTCTAGAGTGCCAGACAACAAATGACTGGTTTCAAAGAATGGAAAAAAAATCCACTGAAAGTGGACAATTTCAGTAGCTAGAAAAGTAAATATTTAACTAGATGCCTGTATTATATTTGCATAGATGTTATATTGTAATCACATTTGCTTAAACTTAAGTGATAAAGTGTCCAAAAACTGCACTAAGCTTTCAAGCAGTTACATTGTTTTCTTGTTACTTGCCAATATATTACCTCTCTAGCTATACACCTCATGAATTTATTAAGTGCTCTAGCTGTAACTGTTATAATTGGGTTTATACATCCTAAAGTAACTTTAGTAGTTAAGAAACTGTTTGCAGCAACAACCTGTTAATATTTCATTTTGCTTTCCACACTGGATGGCAGAAGGCAGGGTGAGATGTACTTTTATTTTCATTTTCCTCAGGCTTTCATCAGGTACAGATGACTTTTGATTCCTTTATGCATACAGAAAGAACAGTCACAGATAAGGACCTGGCCCAGTATCTTATGTTCAATCTGCTGCTCTGCTTTTAAATAAAAGTGCCTTCATGATAAAACTAGTGGATATTTTATGTAGTTAATGTTTATTATATTAGTTGACATGCTACACATAGTTCAAACATAACACTTTGAACCAGTAACAGTTCAGTTACTGGTTCCATCAAACATACAAGAAATTACACATTTTGAATGTAATTTCTTATCCTGTTTGGAGATAGAGGTTACATGTGTTCATTTTTTAACAGTGTATGGTTGTCTGCCACAAAGATGTTAGCACACTGTTCACCTCCAGCTTTAGTATCTGCTAAAGAACAAATGCAGAAGAATTTAAACTTGTGACTGAGAAAACAAAGTTACAACAAAATCTTCTTTCAGTCGGAGAAATAAACCAAGTGCATTTATAAAACTGATGCTATTTTTGTCCACTATTGCAAAGTATGCAATGCATACCTGGTTTGACATATGAAAAAACAGGTTTTGCCAAAAATAAATGTGATGAAAATAAGTGAAAAGTTCACAATATAGGGTTCTGGTTTAAACCCAGAAAATAATTTTACACCAGCATTACATACCATTGATATTAAATTATTGAATTACTGCTGGCAAGGAGTAAATACCAGTGAGCAAAACTTAAAAAAAACCCAAGTATCTACGTAATTAATTCCCGTCTATTTCAGCAACTAAGGCACTTCAACAAACAGCTGTATCACATCAGAATTCTGGTGATCACCATATTACCATTTCACACGCAATGAAGTAGTCCATCTCCAAAACAGATGGCTAACTTCATAACAATTTCAGGTTTTTATATAATATACACAGATACAAATAGCAAATATTTGTGTACTATGCCTTAAGAAAGCAATTCTGAAAAAAAGGCAGTTTTGTTTGGATTAATTGCCTCCTAAAAGATTATGCAGTTCACAAGCATAAAATTCTTTCTCCGTATGTCACAAAAAAGTCAACTTCAGGAATCACAGAAAAACTTCCAGAAAAGAAGTACAGTCTTGGGCATCTTTGTCCTGCATGCATGATGTCTTAACTTTGCATGTTGCACAAAATTGTGACCTCGAAACTACAGGTGAGAAGTCCCTGTTTAAAATACTTCACAGCCAGAATAACAATTCAGGATGTTAGTCAAGAATTAAGTATTACCTAAAGATACTTGTGCAAAAAAACTTCTCATGGTACAAGTGCATACTGCAAGACTGACTTGCAGTTATTCCATTCACTCATTTGTATTTTTTATTACTGGCACTTAGATGATGCAGGCTTGTATCCATCCTTAGCTAGACTATTTTGCCTCTCTGTGGAACAAGCGGGCGCATTCCTCTGGGATTAAGGGTGCTCATCAGACTGTCCTGTTAGACCTTCCCTAAATGCCTCAAGCTGCTTTCCTAGGTAATCACTATTTCTAGTTTTTCACAACAGAAACTTCCCTCTTTTACACCAGAACTTTTGGACAATAGTAGCAAAAGGAACTTCAGAGAAGGCATAAATAAGGAAACTTGCCACGTTTTATATCAGTATCACAAACCAGCATTTCATTTGTTACTCCTTACTATATGGATGGTACTTAAAAAGAAAGAACCGTATTTCAAGCCATGTAATTAGACAGTTTCTGATTTGTCCTTTGTACTAGAAATACAGTGCCTCCAAACCGCTAAACATCTGTTGTTATAAAACCCTATTATTATCAGGAAATGTTGTCATCACACCATGCACCTGTACCATCTATTCAGGCAGAATCAGAATACAATGCCTAGTCTGGAGAGCCAGGGGGAAGAGAGGCACATGGACACACATAGACCCCAACCAGCCACACAACAGCTATAAACTAAGAACCAACTGTCCAACTGTCCCATTAACCATATTATTTAACTGATGTACTGGCATCCCTTCCCCAGTTTCCTATGCTTCAGTGCATCTGTACATACTTTGAAATATATCTCTTTATAGACCTTGAAAAAATATTTTTTTGTCTCTCAATCAAACATTTCAGATTAACCTAAGGTAGTCATAAAATCTAATCTGTCTTTAAATTAAATACAAATTAGCTACATGGCAAACAAAAGACCATTTTGTAGTGCCTTAATTATGACCTCTGCCATTACAAGCTTTATGATACTTTTTATATGGTCACTAAGGGGGAAAAAGTTTACCATCTGAAAAATTAATGGCATCTTATCAGCAATTACTTTTAACCTTTTCTGAAAACAGATTTTTTTTCTAAATGATAACCTCACACTTTACTGGCAAAACAACCTACTAAACTCTTACCTTTCCAGCCTCCAAGTTTGAAATCTATTGTGTAGTAACTAGAAGTGCTTTAAAATCAACAAATCATCTAAAACTGATTAACTGGAGAGGTTAGTTTTATTCACATTTTCAACACAGCTTAGTAGTAAAGGTATTAGCTTACAAAAATAGTAACAATGAGGTTTTCAACATGATGGTCAGGAAGTTTGAGAGTTCTCATGTTTTTATTTTCCCTGCAACATCTTCTGGCTCCTTGATCTCTTTTACAATAGCAATTAAATAAAGCACAAAATTATTGGGTTTTCTTTCCTTTTAACTTCAGAGGAGGATTCAAAATTGTATGATTCTATAGCTAATTCCTACCAGAAAGCAAAAAACAGTATGCCAAGTTTTCAGAATTTGAAAACTTGGCCATTTTCTTTCTTTGCTCAGAGGAATCTACATATACAGACCTTACATTATCATTCAAAAAGCTTTTTTCTTGGCACTTAAAACACAGAACAAATAATATGCAGAAGATATAAAGCTACACTAAGCTTTTAAATATAACAGGACAAAATATTCTACTCGTTTTGTTTGCTTGTACCAAACAGCTGGCGTGGAAGTTCTGCAATGACAATGATGACTTCACATAAAGTAATCAAGGCTTGACCTCTAGTGAGGAGTGATCATTCACTGGAAAGGCTGCCCAGACAGCTGCCCTTAAACCTATTAAAGATGCAAAGGACAAGGCCTTAAATAGCCCATTCTAGCCAAAACTTGCTTTGAGGAGGGGATTGGAATAGAGACCTCCCTACTTCATGGGTATAGGAATTCTGGGTATTGAACAAGCAAAGGTTAGAAGCTTTCACTGCCGAGTTGCAACTTTGTTGTCTCAGTTCGAGGGGACTGAGACTTAATCCTTTAGTACTACAGATACTATCTCGCACAGTTGCAATGACAATGAAAGTCCTTCCCTACACAATCAAAGTTTCCTACTAAGCCTTAATTTTGAGGACACAACTTTTCCAAGCTACCTTTTATTTCTTCCTGAAATTTAAATGTGCTGGTAACAAACCAATGAAAACAACACGTTCTAAATGCTGACATAAGCATTTATTTTATTATGTAAGAAAATAACATAGTTGGTTGTCAGCTTGGTTGCCAGTGACAGATGTTAGTTAAAACTAATCAGAGATTGACCTGGAATGCATCCAGACATCATTAGCCAGTTAGTATTCATATTACGCAGCATGTGAAGATAAAACAAAACCACTGAAGTCAGAATTCTTGATCTAATTCCAACATTCATTTTCTGCCTCACTCTAGTGAGAAAAAAGCCTAACTGATGAATACAGCCTCTGCAATCTCTGTAAACTACCCATCCTTTGCTTTGTTGATAAAACTACCAGTTCACTCTTTCCAGATGAAGCAGCCAGCATCATTCTCACCAAGACCCAGATCTGCTGAGCATAATAGTTGAGATCATTAACTATACAAGTTTTAAATATAAGACACACATTTAAATGGCAATTTCCTTTTTATTTTAAAAAAGTTGCAAAGCCAGCTAATGAGAACAGGAAGCTCTTAAACAGGAATGCCTGCAAACATGAAACCGAATAAAACCTGAAAAGTTTACACAAAAAGAAAAAAAAAATCAGTAATTTTTAAAATTTTATTAAGCTAACCTCAGTAAGAAATGTCATTTACTAATGCAGGTAGCACTGAAAAATTTTTATTTGAACCGTTTGTGTGGTCAGTCAGCCAGCACTTACGTTTTTATTTGATGCAAAGACATAAGGCTGAAATTAATCTAAAAAAAAAAAAAAACAACAAAAAAAAAGCCACTAAACAAAACCCAAAGCATTACAACTCCATCCTTTTATACTTTGATGTATGACATTCAATGTCCTAAAGGTATTTCAACCAAGAGCTAAAAAACTTAACTGGGTATTATTTACAACCGTTGATGGAAAGTGTTTTCCATCTTCCAGTAATTAAAAGTTAAAATAACTGTCAATACTGTCAAACCTAGAATGTGTTATTAGAGCATCTTTTCCTCTACAGCAAACTCAACTTAACTTTCCGTGGACCAATAGGCCTATCATTCAGTTCATTAATAGCAGCCATAGCTTCCTCATAGTTTGTCATAGCAACGATGGCATCACCAGAAGGTAATCCTTGTTCATTGTACTGCACAGAAACTGACTCTGGTATCACTCTGTAGCCATAGAAAAAATCCAGAATCTCATTAGGAGTAGCTTTAAAAGGTAAATTTTTCAATAGAATAGGAACAACACGTTCAGAACCACCACTGAAATTTTGATCTGGCATAAATCTTCCTTCAGGAAAATTTCCCATTTTATTATTCCCAAACTCCATTCTGCCAAAAGGTTCACTGTCACCACCAAAATCCATGAGGGGTGGTGGACCCCTAAAATCCTTAGGAGGGCACATGAAGTCCTCAGAGGGATGTCTAAATTCAGAATGATGCCTGAAGTTCCCAGGGGGACCAAATGAATGCATGGGTGGCCCTTGTGGTGGCCCAGATGGTGAACCAACTGGACGGGACAGGTCAACTCTGTCATATGGATGTGAATGACCGTGCATTTCATTTGGTGCAGATAATGGTGCAGGTACCCCAAACTTCTGCATCTGATCTTGAGATATAAGTCTTATTAATACTTCTGTTCCCAAAAATGTTTGACGATTTAAATTTTCTGCTTTCATAGCTTGTTCTTCAGATTTAAACTTCACTAGTGCTTCTCCCAGTCCAACTCCTTTTTCATCATAGAGCAAGTAAATATCATCTTCGTCAACATCAAATCTTGAAAAGAACTTTTGCACTTCAATTTTTGAAACATCAAATGGAAAATTCCTTACATAAACACAAGTCTTAGGGCTAGAATGACCTTCTCGATAACTTTTTTCTGATATGACCTGTCCAAAGTGATCTCTGTCCAGTGATCTTTTCCTCTCACAAGAGTCAATTATTTTCAACATTGACTTTCTTGAAATTGGAAAAATGTACACAGGACGATTGAGAAGAACCTTTCTATGACATTCCAAAGCAGCCTGATATTCTCTCTCATTCCTTAACACCACAAAAGCATCTCTAGTCCTTTTCTGATGCTTATCTGTTAGAATCTTGATCTGTTTGCTGTGTATATCTAGATCAGGAAAAAAATCTCTCAAATCTCTCTTCTCCACATTAAAAGATAGATTTCTTAAGTGTATGTAATATTCCTGGCTGGGAGATGAACGAGAATGCGTTCTTTGTCTCCTTGGTGATCTTGAACGAGAATGCTTCCTTGAATGCATGTAGCCTGAACTTCTTGGAGAATGGTCTTCGCACAGAAAGTGATCCATTTCATCTGGCATGTCTATCCTCCCACCGCATTCAATCCACCGTTCCTCTGTAGTTGGACTAATTTCTATAAACCTCTGACCCATGTATTGTCTGTGACGTTTAAGTCCTTCTAAGGCATCACCAGGTGTAGCACATTTTACCAAGCAATCGCCATTGTTTAAACCATTGCGGTGCTTTATCAGAATCACTCCGTCCACACGTATCCCCGAAAGGAAACCGCGTACTTCAACTTCTGTTGCAGAGTAAGGTATACCACGTAGAAATAAGTAACGATCATCTGGGTTAAACGGGTGAGAATCCTTTCTTATCTGATAGTTTGACTTAGGTATACCCATATCACCATATCTTGTGCCGTTGGTATGGAAACCAGCCTCCAGGCGATTTGGTGGCCCATAACTAGGTTTTCTCATTCCTTTAGGAGAAGCTGTAACTAAATGTGGTATATCTCCAACATTTGATGTACTAGAACCATTAGTACCTGTTCTTCTAGAGCCAGACATAGTTTCTCGTCCCCCACGGTCAAATCGTTTCCGGCTCATTTCTATGGTACTCTGCATCTCTGCCTTGCTGCTGAGAAAGAGCTCTATGCGCGAGTCCTTGATAAACCCTCCCGAACAGCTCATGGCACGCCGTGCATCTTCATCTGTTGCAAATATAATAAAAGCCTCCCCAATCTCTCCTCCAATAATATGCACACCTCCATCAGGAATATTCAATCCCAAGAAGAAACGACGAATATCTGGAGGACCCGCAACAACAGGAAGCCCCTGTAAACGGATGACTACAGCCATGCTGAGCTCAACCCACAGCAAAAATCACCTGCAGACAAAAAGGTACACATGATAGCACGTCTTTAGTACTCAGCTATTTTACAGTATCTTATCACTTAAGAAGCTAGAGCCTTTTTAATGAATGCCCTTGTCTCATCAAGAGAGAAGGTATCAAAAAAACCACAAGTTCACGAGAACAAGATTAAAACACAATTCACTGAATGTTGATTAGTCAGAACAATTAGCTACTCCACCAGCACACGTGCACAAATCTATCAGTATTCCCTACACTAAAGGCAACAAAATCCACCTAAGTCACTCCTCACCATCCACAATACCTAAAGAACACCTCAGGTCTTTCACAGCATAGTTACTATATGCCAGAGATCTCTGCCTACTCCTAAGAACAAAAAAAAATCCAGTTTACTTTTGAACAGGACACTAACTGATAAAAGGAGAAAGGAAAATATGTCACTTCAAAATGTGTCACTGGAAAATGAAGTAATTCACAAACAGTGATGACTTTAATATTTTGACAAGTTGCTCTACCCAGTCATCAGTTCTGTTCAATAATGTATGTTTTCTCAGCATTCAAAAACGTTGTGTCTTTGGCGTAGTCAGAGTATTAACTGCAGCGGCCACAAGCACATCCTAGTTGCCAGCCACAACTCTGTGAGGAAAAAAGGCTGTGTATGATCTTGTCACAATACTCAGTGAGAAGTGTTAAGCTTTTGGCAGCTTACCTGTTTCTGCTTTGGAGACCTGATAAATTCTGTAAAATCAACTTAACTGTGGAAAGAAAACGAAACATAATTAATGGCTGATACCTGTACTTTGCTTTACACACTGTGCTACACTGCTGCAGCCCATCCACTGCAGTGGCTAATACTAACGCCAAGCATGTTATGAACCCATGTGAAGAACTCCTTCCATGTTCCAAGATGCCACGCACTGCATCTTTGTTTCCATTTTAGAAGCAAAAGAAATTCAAAATTTATGTTGACTTCTGGAAACGATGAAAATACGATGGGATTACTTGGTCATCAGTTGTGCCACACTGAACTGTTGCAATGAAACAGACTGACAAGTATATCGAGGGAACAGTTCTCAACTGAGTTCTTGAAAGATTCTTAGGTCCATCTCAGGATTACATGACACATCCATTCTTCTGAAATCCACCTGGTTTCAAACTTCACAACAAGAGTATGCTACCCACCAGTCCAGCACTCCACTTAACGTACACAGTGAAGACCATCAAATGAAAGAGCAAAAATATCCAGCACGGAGAAACTTCAGAAGTACCTGGATTTACAAAGTCAACTTCAGTATTCTCCCTATATCCTTACTCTACTGCCTTCCAAACATAAGAACAAGAAAAGTTTGAATACACTGACTTAACAGACCCTGATTCTCAACATTTTCTAACATCACACAATAAATAGCACAAGATTCTCAGAACAAACACAAGCCTCTGCAGCAAACTGCATCCCTTTAAAACAAACACCAACAGCCCAATACTGAGCATTCGAGAACACTCCTCCTACATACCTTGCTTTATAAAGTACTAGATCCTAATGACGAGTTCTCTATCAATAACCATAACTCACTCCACCTGAACTTAGCAAAAGAGCAAAGCCCAGATTCTGTCACTAATGGACTCCACGTCACTTCAGCACCAGTACTCCGTAATCATAACAAACAGAAAACAACTGCCCATTTAGAAACTTCACCAAAGACCATCTGTTCTCTATACTTTTGTTGTGAGTCGACTCCAGCCAGCTGCCAAGCACCCACACAGCGACTGTTCACTCCTCATCCCCATCAGCAGGATGGGAAAGAACAAAGTCAGAAAACTTGTGGGTCAAGATAAAGACAGTTTCATCCATGAAAAGAAAAAACAGGAAATCACTCACCAACTCCCACAGGCTGATGTCCAGCCTTCCTCCAAATAACAACTACCTTGGGAGCCAAGAAAAAATCCCCCCAAAGAAACCAAAATCATCAAAATACTTCTTCCTCTACCTCAGTTTTTGTTGCCCAGCAGGATGTTACATGTCTCAGAATATCCCTTTGGTGAGTCTGGGTCAGCTGTCTCAGTCATGTTCCCTCCCAGCTTCTCACCTATTCTGAGCACACTCACAGGAGGAACAGAGTAGGAAAAATAGATAAAGCCTTGATACTGTGCAAGTGCTGTTCAGCCACAGCCAAAACATCGATGTGTTGTCAACATTCCTTTAGCCACAAATCCAAACTGAACTGTATGGGCTGCTGTGAAGAACGTTTAACTCCATCCCAGCCAGACCCAGAACACTTTACAACGTGTCTTCTCAACAGATGCAATGGCAGTGCCAAAAAGCATGAAGAATTCAAGGGCAGAATTTTCATTCAGCACCTTCGTGTCTTGAAAAAGTAAATCCGCTGCCCTGCTACTTCATGATGTATTTAATCTGTAGTACTTCTGGATTCACAACTCCGCTTTCTTATCCCAATTTTTAAACATCATTCACAAGAGCTCTCCTCCATAATTCTTCGGTGATAAACAGCAAGTTTTCCATGATGCACCAGGGATACAATACACAACGTTCAGTGGTGAAAACCAGCCACAGTGATTCCAGATTATAATGTGATCTCTAAGAAGTCCATAAACAAATGGAAGTTCAAATAATAGCTCTTACTGACTGTATAGTAAACAATGACACATGGGTAGAAAGCACAGACAAGCTATCCAAAAATTTGAAGTCCATAAACAAAAAGAGTTGACTTGTCATGAAAAGTAAGAGCAATTCATTAACTGAACAAGGACTTCAGAGAGCAAGGATTTGGAGAATAAATAAACTTAATGCCACAACTTAAAAGCACAGACGTGTACACAGTTTTATGAAATTTTATATATGAGCAAAATTGGCTAGAAAACAGTACAATACCTATTCTTCCACAACCTCGACAAATTTCAAACATTAAAGCCATTAAAATAATCCACAACTTGTAAACACAGTAGGAAACTAAGTCTGCACTAGACTAGTATTTTTCTCGTAACACTGAAAGATTACAGACTGCAAGCTAGAAAGAACACCCACATAAACACCCCAACTACGAAACTGGACTAGTATAGAATAACCAGCGGAACAGGGGAAGGTTTCTTATTCTATTCTTCAAAATAAGCCTTAACAGAGGAAGCAGGCTGCTGCGAATAGCAGTTTTCACAGTGCTGAAGGAAAACATGAGTGAGCTCTGCAGCTGGGCCCGCTACACGGTCGAATGTAGCACGGAGCCGCTTCCGAGCAGGTCGCTCCGCCGGGACCAGCTGGAGGGACTCGCCACGGGCACGGGGCAGGGAACGGGCGAGGGGGACGGGGCGAGGGGCCACACGCGCTGCGGCCCGCCAGAGCCGCTGGTGCTCTGCCCCCACCAAGAAGCCCGTCTGCTTCCCGACACCGGGACAGGGCTGAGGGAGGCACCGGGAGCGGGGAAGGGGAATAAGAAGCCCAGGGACACCAGGAGGCCGGGGCACGCGGAGTGGCCGCGCAGCGGTTCCGCGAGGATCGGGCAACCGAGAACCGGCAAACTCCGCGCCGCCCTCGGCCACACGCTGCACCCTGGGGAGGCGTGCTCTGTCCCTCACGCCATCCATCCATCCACGCACCCACCGGACACGCCGCTCGGACGGGTCCCGCAGCTCCCGGCACGGCTCCGCCAAGATGGCGCCGCCTCCACTGCCCCCCCCCAACGCTGAGGGGAAGCTGCGCTGCTCGAGCGCTTCCGGCCCGCGAGCCCCGGCCTGCGCGCGCGTCCTGTGGGCGGGGCGCAGGCCCCGTGACCCCGCCCCCTGCGCCGCGGGCACTGCCTGCCCTGAGGCGGCTCTGCGGTCCCTGTCTAAGTAGATCTGAGGGAGCCATGTAATGGTAGATGTGTGTGATTATAAATAGGCAGAGCGATAGACCTGCACGGTGATAGATCTGTGTACAGAGATCGGTGACCGAGCGCCCCTGTCGCGCTGGGCGCTGCCGTCAAACTCATTCCCTTCGGTGCCGGCGCGTGCCCCGCCTCAGGCACCACTCACCGCTGCTTTTCCTACACCCAGCCCCGATTTCTAACGGAGTGCCGGGCTGGCTCAAGCCTGGATTGTGAGAGACGAAGAAGGCAGGAATGGAGGAATGGAAGAGAAGAAGGAAAGGTTCAAGATTAAGTAAAGGGAAGGGCAGAGGCAGAGTACTTTGGTTGTGCAAGCGAGCTATATTTAACCAAATGTTTATCCTACCTGCCTTCCTTGTCTTTACGTATTCTCCCCTGTCTTTCTGTGCATATCCAATAGTTATCTGCTCCATTTTCTTAGGAAAAAAAAAAACCTGTACTATTTATGGTAGCTTCACCTAGCAATGCTGCCGACTTTTAGGAGCTCTCTCAACACAGACAGAGTCTTGTTTAGAAAAAAGACATTGTTTATTCTGTGCGGGGTACAAGGTGGAGGTTTCCACAAATCAAGCGCACCGGTAAAAAGTTACATCTTTACACAGTCAGATTTACATGAACTTGAGCCTGGGAACAAATAATTCGACTTGAAAACATCAACTCATCCTTTTAACAGTTGTTGAGCCAACAAAATAAATCCAGTCAGAAATAAAACATGCTGATGACGAAAATCATAATAGCTAGACAATTAGCATGCAGGAGAGGGACAATGAGAAAAAACTGAAGTCCCGGATACGGTGTCCTGCAAAGTTTTGGTAACATCTGAGGAAATGAGACAAAAGGCAACAGGCAGAAACATGCACAGAAAGTTCCATCTAAGCATGAAGAACTTTACTGTGCAGATTCACTGGAGCAGGCTGCCCAGAGAGGCTGTGGAGTCCTCCTCACTGGAAATACTCAATAAATCTGTGGTAGCAATCCTCTGCTCTGGTACACCCTGGTTGAGCAGGGAGATTGGACCAGATCACCCACTGTGGTCCCCTCCAACTGGACCCACTCTGTAGAATGTGAACAAGAGTGTGACAAAGGTGTAAAACGTAAAGGGGAGTAACTTTGCTGAGCATCCACCGCTCTAGGTATTTTGTGTTCTCTCACCTTGTTAATAGTTTCCTCTCTGGGGAGAAATTAAAATGTGTGTTACATTTATATGATACACTGTGCATCATTTCTAGAGACGAAGTACCAGAAAGTGCAAACCGGGCCTCGGTGTCCTCTCGTTTCTCGCTCCTGGTCCCGCACAAGACGAACAAAACTCTGTAGACCAAATACCTAAACTCGGGCTTGTCCTCCCTCTCCCGGCCCGCCCCGCAGACGCGTTCGCGTGCTGAGGCGACGGGCCCCCGGCGCTCGCCGTACCGAGCGGCTCTGGCCAATCAGCGTGCGCGGGCAGGGCGCGCGGTAGCCATGGCGACGCGGGGCCGCGGGGCCGCCGCCGCCGCCGCGCTGCTCATGGCGGTGTCGGCGGCGCTGCCCCCCGCCCGCGGCTTCTCCGTCCCGCTCCAGCGCCCCGCAGACTGCGGCGCCGACCGCTACTTCGACAGCTCCCGCTTGGCCTGCGCGCCCTGCGGGGCCCACCAGCGGCAGAGCGCCGGCGGTGAGCCATGGGGGAGGCGGGGCTCGGGCGGTTCTGCGCGGAATCCGCCCCCAGCAGCGGGAGATGCGCAGTCGGGCTCAAGGTGTTTGATAAAACAGGTGCCCTCGGGCAGGTCGGGGAACGTCCACAAAAGGGCCAGGATTCCGCAAAGACCTAGGAGGCCCCAGCACAGCCGTGATGTATCTGACATATAGCTCAGAGAAATTACTTTCAACCTTTTTCTAATAACCTTTCTTTCCTCGAGCATTATATTTGCATTTTCATCTCTCAAATTCCACAGGACCCTGAATTTATGTTCTTGAACACCTCTGTGACTTGAAACTCTTTGTCAAATTTGAATGGCTGAGATACCAAGTGTCTGAGAGCCTCAGGCTGTGCCTATGCTAGTCCCAGTCCCGTGCTGGAACTTGGAGCAGATACCACACAGCCTAGCAACACTAAAATACAGATAGTTGACTGCATTCTTTAGGGCATAAGGAGTTATTAAAGGGTCCATCTTTTATAAATACACAGTCCAACAGAGTGAGAGTTCCCTGTTGTGTGTATAAATGTGAGACTAAGACCCAACAACATCTCTCTTCAGAAGTGGTACTTCAGTCAGAAGCAGTGATGTGGAGGGCTGTGTTCACAGCTGCTGCGTGAAAGCTGCTCGCTTTTTCACCATCACCACAGTGCCCTAAAGACTAATCCCATAGTTCACTAACTGGAAGAAAATACATTATTTGTTTTCAGATCCCCTGATAATGTGGGTGTCTAGATCCATAACTCTCTTTTAGGCTGATTCTGCCTCTAAAAAAGGGCTTCAGGGAGAGGAAAATTGCAAGGGCAGGTCAAGGGTTTATTTCCTCCTGCAGATCTGACTGGAGCAGTGTAGGTAGGTGCCACTCAGTGCTGTTTGCATCTTGACTGAATTCCACTTGAGACCGCCCATACACTCCATGGCTAGCTCATCAGTCTGGATTCTGCTTTCAAGTTTTGTCACTGAGTGTCACAACTTGAACTTTTCACTGATCGAATACAATTAGGCTTTTTCTTCTTTAGAATTAAGTAGAAATGGTTGATCACTTTGACAAATGTTTCTGTACGGCTAGTCTTGTTAAAATATACTTTAAGGTTATAAAACTTTCCACACAATTTGACATTATTTTTGCCTGCACAGTTCAATAAGTTTAAATGATAAAAACAGTTTATTAGTAGATGTAATCAATTTTGATTTGTGGTATGTGTGTAAAAGCACAGAGAGATGTTCATAACACTGAGATAGGAAAAGTTTATAAAAAAAAGTTGTTGAGCACTAGCAGATGGGCGTTATACTGTGCCATGAAAATAGTGTTTCATTTCATACAAAGTGTTAAATATGTTCTGTTCCCTCATTGAAAACCATTCAATATAAACCTTGATCCCCATGCACAATTTTAAAAGCCTTGAGTTTAAAACAGCTTTTCATACATCCATTATATTTCGAAAAACCTTTTCATAAAAACACATTTTGGTTTTAGGACTGACTTCAAATTGAAAAAATAAAACCTATATACAGACATATAGTGCTGGTGTTGTAGAGAGGAAGGGCTGTGGTAAGATTTAGATGGAGAGATTTTATCTATTACAGAACAACAGGTAAAATTCGGTTTAATTAAAAAAAACACAAAATACGAGCTCTGGGTCCATGTTCCACCCTGGTAGATCAGTCAGCCTTGCAATAGTCTCCTAAAATATCTGTGTGCAAAGTGTAAAATGGGAATTTCTTAAAAAGCAAGATTTCATTCACATCTCACTCAAGTGTTTTATGTGTCTGTCTAATAATCCATCATGATCTCTTGAGAACAATAGTAGGTGTTCTTAGTATTCTGTTACAACCAGTCAGTTTTATATAGATTAAAAGTAGATTTGTTTTGTTTTCTTTAGGTAGTTCCTGTGTATGTGAGCCAGGATACAGGATGGTTTCTGGTAATGGTGGGTTCTCTGTTACTTGTGAAAAATGCCCAGAAAATATGGTAAGTATTGAATGTTTCATGTTTGCCATAATGATAAAATGCTAATCATAACCACTATGGGCTTTTAAATTTTAAATTTTATCCTGACTGCAAGTTATTTTTTATTTATTAAAAATATTTTTGTGTAATAGTCTTTGTTTGGAAATTTAGAATTGTCTATTTCTATTACTTTTCAGGCTTTTTTAATTGCAAATTTGATACCACAGTCAAAATAATTTTTTAAAGTGTTTAGCTTCCTTCCACTCCTTTTTTTCTCTGTGTAGTCCTTGCCCAGAGAACACAACTCTGTACAATGTTAAAGGAGCTTTTCAGCTCATAGGTATCTTAACTGATTATTTATGTAAATACTATTATTGTAATATTTAGGCTGTATCTTCATAATCCACGATATTTCATCTTCTTACTTCAAAATGAGCTGCTCCTACTATGTTACTTTAATTATAATTATAGTTTGATCAGTTCTTCTGACCTTCCTTGACAAACTAAGCTATAATTCTGTGTCATAGTCTCAGCGTTGATCCAGAGACACCAAGCTTAGCCAGATTTTTTCCACTATAGTAAGCAAAGAAGTGTATTTTTCCAGCTTTCCTCCAATTTTTGAGGGTGAAGCCCTCCTGAATACTTCTGTCCCTTCCATAACTATAGAAGAACTCTCAGGAGAGCAGCTTACTTGCCTGAGTTAGGTGTTCAGTGGCTAATGGGCTATGTAGGTAATTTCCCT